GAATTATTATTGTTTTTTAATTAATTTATTTATTTTTACACCCACTTCCCAGATAGCACCCTCCCATAGCCTCCTTCCCCCCACTAGAGCGCTTATACTCTGATATCCTTGCTACTGTCGGCTGTGTTGGCAGCACCCCCAGCCATTCCCCACTACTTGTCCTTCTGGTGAATCTAGTCATCCTATCTAGAGGTCTTTGTTTTAGTAGGGTCAGCTGTTCCTCATCTAGTGGTAATCAGTTGTCAATATTCCTTTGGATAAGATTGGGGTCTGCTGTTCATTTTCCCAGTTCTATGCTGGGTTACTATCTGGGAATCCCTTTGGCCACCCTGGCCAACAACTCAAAAGAAGGTATCGCCTGTCTGGCATTGTTGCTTGTTATGTAACCTTTAGGTATACATATGGACTCATGAAATTATATTGGCCCTTTTAATCTTTGGTTATACTTTCCTTTTGGGTGTTTAAGGCCATACAGTTGGACCAGATATTTCAACTGCATGTAATTTTAAAATTACAATAAAAAAAGATTCCAGCATCTTCTTTAAATCTGTGACTTGTTCTTTCTTGATGATCAGCAACTGACTGAAGACTGAATAAAATGGATTACACGACACTAGATTTCCCCATTCAAATCTCTGATTCACACATTTAAAAGTTAAGACGAGCACTGGGCATGGTGGCGCACACGTTTTGTCCCAGCAATTGAGAGGCAGAGACAGGCAAATCTCTGTGAGTTTGAGGCCAATCTGGTCTACACACCAGCTTCAGGCCAACTGGGGCTACAGGGAGACACTGTCTCAAAAAGACCAAAAAAAAAAAAGTTAAGTCAAATTAACAAGATATAAAACGTAAATAGCAAATCAAATACTAAGAGGATATGAATAATAACTGAATCCTACATGTCCATATTATTACTTTCCATGGCTTAAATTGTTTTGGTCCCTCTCCCTCCAGATTCATCTCTCTCTTACTGGAATCTCAAGAATTTTATTCCTTTAGAACATATGGAATCTGGGGCTAGAGAGATGGCTCAGCAGTTATGAGCACTGACTGCTGTTGCAGAGGACCCAGGTTCAATTCCCAGTGCCCACATGGCAGCTAACAACCATCTGTAACTCCAGTTCCAGGGGAATCTAATGCCTTCTTCAGATTCCATGGGCAATGCATGACATGGGTACACTTAAACACATGAACAGAAAATAAAAATAATAAATAAAACATTTTTTAAAATATATGATTATAGTTTTCCATGAGAACCCTTTTCACATGCAACAAATTCTACAAAAGGAAAAGTTATAGTAGTGTTATAATAAAACTTAAAGTAGCACCTTGACTCCCCCCAGCCTCATTCACCCTCCCACCTCCCCCACCCCATCTCTCCTCCTAGCATGGGCATGAGGCCCATTCCTTCTCTTGGCACCCCAGACCTCCGGTCTGACCTCTTGGCTCAGACTCCCCACTGCTTCCTGATCCTTTGCACCCAGACCAACCCAATTCCTCCCTCTAGTCCCCTGGAGCCTCTCGGCCTGTTCCCTCCCTCACCTCCCTTTGCATGCCTGGGCAGCCCAACCCCCAAGCTTCTTGGGGCCAGCATCTTTCCTGGGTAACTTTCACTGTGCCCACTGCCCTACTGCAAGTGTTAGTTGCATTTAAAATGAGCTTGTCTGTACAAAACAGTATATTTTAAAAAGAAATGGCGATCTTTTTGAAAGGTTAAAACCTCATTCAATTTTATGTCTTATAGGGTTTATACTGAGCACAATAATATATAACTGTATTAATTCAACACTGTGAACCTAAAAATTTACAGCCAATTTTGAAAGAGATGCATCTTTGCTCTGGAAACTGATATTGACTTTGTCAATGTGTTGTAATGAAATGCTTCTACTAATTATGTAGTTATTAAATAAATTTTAAAAAAGACCGATAAACAATTTTTTAAAAAAAACTTAAGGAAATACTGCTATTATTTTGGGAGTAAAAATACTTTCAAAATATCTATCTAGTTTATGTGTATTGCTAAAAACCTTCAAATTATTTTGTTCAACCTTCTCTAATTGGCCTGAGACAACTGAATCATAAGCCATTCTGGCTTCGTCCTATTGCAATTCCCAATCTACCATTGTTTCTTCCAACAATTAAGTAAGCCAGAATCATGAAACAAAATATTTTGATTAAGATGCTGTGGCTTTCAATTAAATTTGGATCACTTGGTGACTTGTGAGCTTCAATCTTGTAGGAAAGGAAACTGTGTAGATAATATCAAGAAAGTCAAAGGTTTGTCTCACGAAATTAAGTTAAAACCACTTATGGTAAAAGTTTGGATAATTCAAGTGAGGTTGCCAGACCTTTTATAAACCTTCAGATTGTTATGGTTTCTAGGGAACATCTTAAGTATACCAACAGATTGAATAAGGTCAGTCAACTAAATCTCATTAGAAACACAGAAACTCCTGAGGCAAAGTCTTTCTCAGAAAGTCCATACCAGTACATGGTGTTATCCTGTGTGTGTTTTTTTCATTCGTTGCATTTACAATTGATAGGAATATTGCAAGTACAAAACAAAATAAAATAAAACAAAATAAAAAGTTAATCCTAGCACTTGAAAGGTAGAGGTAGATGGACTGACAATTCAGACCTATCTGGGCTACAGAGTTAGGTCCAGGACAGCCCAGCTACACAAAGAGACCTGTTCTATATATATATATATCACAAAAACTGTGATTTATGGAAAGCAGATACACTGAATTGAAAATGTGAATTATCTTTGTCTAAGTACAATTGATATTCCAATCATAATAAACTTTGGGTTAGGAAACAAAATAGTAATGCAAAAAGAAACATTTGACAGATAATAATGTGGAGAAAAGGAAGACAAAACATTAGAGAAGCTTCATTTCTAAAAGACTCTTTGGCTGCCATCATGAATTTTGCAGAGGGCCAGAAACAATGACTTTGAAATGTTTTATTTTTGGATGACCCTGACCTTCCAAACAGTCTTTCAGGATCACATATTGCAGTTTTTCATTGTCCCTTAAATCCTCATTCTTTCTCTCTACAGGCGTAAGACAAATTGAAGCACATCTAGTTAGGTAATGTTTTAAAGCATACACTTCTGTTGTTTCTTATACTTTTATCTTTCTCCTGTTTAAATTTGCAGCAAATGCTGTACCATCTTGGCACAGGGGAGCTTTTCGACAGGCCAGTGTGTGAACCAAACTGCATATGCTGAAGATGGAAATACATCTGCCCATTGGACAGAGTGCATTTTTCTGCACCCAGAGGCATCACACACTCTTCAACAGTAAAGTGGGTAGAAACTCAGGGTCAGAGATTAGGCTGACTAAAGAAAATGGCTATTTCCTGTACAACCAAATTGGAAGTCAAATAGGCCTGCCAGGTACATGAATTGAAGAGAAGTATTATTCAAATGGTCCTGACCAGTTGCTGAGCTATGCTTCAAGAAAAGGGAGCCTTTTGTCATATGCCACCATGGACCAGCATCTGCCAGGAAAAACTCACAAAATTCAAATCACTGAAGCCTAATAGCAACAGTGAAAAAGAAATTATCATTTAACCTTCCTTATACATAGAAAATGAGACTCAATGGAGGCTGGAGAGATGGCTCAGCGTTATAAGCATTGGCTGCTCTTGCAGAAGATCTGTTTTCCATTCCCAGCATCCACATGGTAGCTAACAACCCTCTGTAACTCCAGTTTGGGGGGGGGTGAGGCCCTCTTCTGACTTCCTCTGGCATTGAATGACATGGGTGCACTTGCACTTACACACATGCAGGCAATACACTCATACACATAGCATAAAATATAAATAAAATGTTTTTTAAAAAATAAAAGAATGAGACTCAAGAAAGATAAAAATATATACGTAGGGATACTGAGTAACTCACAAAGCTAAACTG